CACCATTTAATCCACTGTGTCAGCACACATTTTGCTATTGTGTGCATTTGCCTGATACATTATTCAATCTCCCTTTATATTTCTTAACCCCTTGTGCCCTTCATTCAGTAAAATTGTCCTGTATTTCAATGAAGCCTATGGGTAGCGCTCAACTCTTTCAGTGGCCCTAGGCTTGTCGTGGAAAATTCAACATTTCCAAGGTTGTGGGCAATGCCTCCACAGGATGAAAACCGGTCGAGTTACCAGAAAGTAATAATGGGATATTAATTTTAGATCGAAACCCAGTGTGTCCTTCAATAGAAGGGCACTATATACTGGACAAGCAACCATTTTCAGAATAAATTCAACTAAGCAAAAACACTATGCCTTGCTTGCCTTGCTTGCCTCGCTTAAACTTGATCTTGCTTGGAAGAAAACAAGGACATTTGGCAAACAGCCTTGTGTACAATTTGGCTATATACAACTACATTACACTAAGGTCGTTCACATTTTGTGTGTGAAGTATTTAAAAGCTATATATGAAAAAATTTCTTCATCAAATCCATGTTTAAGTAGAGGCAAACGTTTAAAATAGAAACAAAATTCTGTCACCGCCTTTGAGGGGCCCAATGAAACCATGGGGCAGGCATCACTTTGTCTGAAATTTAAGATACGCTTTTGAACTTCTGCAGTCCTTGGGAATTTCACACGATGCCCTTCTACTTTACCCCGTTGTTTAAATGTCACTGAGAGCACAGGACTTATGACTGCGCATTAACAGTAGTGCGGTGAGTTCAAACACATTTACACAGTACATATAACATTTCCAACAGTAAATGTTACATCTGTGTTTACTTTGTATGGGCTTGAATTGTGTTTTTATTAAGTCACTTAATTGCTTTTACAACATAGTTAGATCATGCAAAACGTGGATTTAGAGGTGCTTATATTGAGGCTATTTCCTACGAAATAGCTAGGTGGCTCAAGTAGCTGAAGAATGTGTTAAGATATTCAGCCAGTAACCCATGAGATCCTAAACTCAAGTCTCAAGTGGGTGAAATATATATAAATGGCATGACCTTTTTTGATCTCAGAGACTTCTCATGTACAGTGAGTTTTATTATATCCACCCACTCACAAAGGCCTAACCGGGTGGCACCGTGTTGGAGCCCTTGACCCACACTTGGAAGGGCACATTTTAAATTCTCGGTCAAAGGCCAAGAAATCCCATCATCTTTACATGGTCAATAAAACAAATATCACTTTGTGGGAAGTCAGCAACTGCTCTTATATGGAAAGACTCACTGCCATGGGAATGTGCAATGTTCACCACTAGCTCAGGACTGCCAACAGAGATGAGCATCGTGCCGTGCTTGTTTCGGCACGGAGACACTATGACTTTTGAAATGGTTATTGGAATGTGGCCTCATGTTATGAATAATGTCTGAGTGATTACAATCACTTGATGCTTCAGCAAATGGCTTCTTTGGTGATCACTAGGCCACAAACTCCAAACCAAACAACAGATAAATATAATCAGTGCTGTCGCACACGGTTATTATTTTTTCTGATAAGGAGTTTCAATAAATTACGAGAAAAAATATGTATTTGTGCTCCCAACATATTGACGTAATAAATAAGCGACTCAATGAATGGAAGATATGTGTGCGTTTGCTTGTGAATGTGTGTGACTGAGGCAAGATGATGCAATCGTTAGTACAATGCACTACGAACCTGATTACCTGGGTTCAATACCCAGCTATGAATATGACTAGTAGCATGTCGTATCTGAATCTGTCCTGGGCTTTCCCTAAGTTGATTCAGCCTTGAACAAATAGAGTAACACCCTTATTTACGGCCTCCCGCTTTACGTATTTTCGCTGTAACGTGCTCAAATTATTGATACCAAATCCCTTTTTACGTACATCACGTACTCGAGATTTACAAACTTTGCCATTTAGGCCCAAAATTTTGTACGTTTCACGGCGAACATTCAGACGCCAGATAGTGCCCAAGCGTTAGCGTGCCTCACGAGCTAGAGTCTCTTTCATGTGTACTCTTCATATTTTTTTCCCCACATACTGTATTATGGTAACTATTTTTATACAAGTGTAAACTATTTGTAGATGATAAGGGGCCGTCCATAAATGACGTTACGCGATTTTGGACGATTTTTGACCCCCCCCCCCAAAAAAAAATAAAACATGCTTCAAATAGCTTTAAACTATTGTCATTGTAGTGCGTATTTAATGTGGCGCTGCACTCTGACGTTGTAGGAGAAAACATTTATTAAAAAGTCTATTTAATTAAGTAGAACGTGTTGTCTATATTTGTTTAAAGTTGCGCATTTTGATGTGACGTCACATTTCTCACAACCTCCCCTCGTCACACATCGTCACAAATGTCTGACACCCCCCCCAGATGCGTGACGTCATTTATGGACGGCCCCTAAACTAATAATAATACCTACAGTATAATAGACAAGGTCATATATCTTAATATATCAAGAACACATACTTTTCACACCGATGGTTGTACAGTATACAGTGAGGGAAAAAAGTATTTGATCCCCTGCTGATTTTGTACGTTTGCCCACTGACAAAGAAATGATCAGTCTATAATTTTAATGGTAGGTTTATTTGAACAGTGAGAGACAGAATAACAACAACAAAAATCCAGAAAAACGCATGTCAAAAATGTTATAAATTGATTTGCATTTTAATGAGGGAAATAAGTATTTGACCCCCTCTCAAATCAGAAAGATTTCTGGCTCCCAGGTGTCTTTTATACAGGTAACGAGCTGAGATTAGGAGCACACTCTTAAAGGGGGTGCTCCCTTTAGTGGGCAAACGTACAAAATCACTGCACATGCGCAAAGGGTTACTGAGCATCTCTCTGTTTAGGTTATGTACCACTTTATGGATCCACCAAAAATGCTTCGATTTAAGAACTTTCGATTTTTCTCGTGGTTTTCTCAAACACATCCTGGCCGTAAACCTGTACATGGTGGATTTTCTTTTTGAATCAGCACTGAGGAAACCAAGTTGTGGTCGTGGACAACACCTCCTTAGCTGCCCTTAATAGGTGCTCACTCATAGAGCACTTGCCTCCAGCAGTCCAAGAAAAGTTTGTTGTCAGTAAACTGTATTTGGGAGAAAATGCTCCTACAGTATTTGAGACGAGCTTGGCAGACCCTTGTCTTTATGTGTGTGCTTGGGGGCTCGTAACAAATGCAAATAAATAAATAATTATTCGCGTGTTATGGTTAAACAACCTAAAAATACTCTGTTAAATGCAATTCCCTTAAAAGCACACCTATTTTTAGATAATTTCACAACTCATTCCTTTAGGATGCAAACAGTTTCTCACAAACACGAGACTGAACATGCAGATCTAAATGGGATAAGTTATTTATTTATAGTCAATACTCCCATTTACCATTTGGACACGACTTGGAGGCCTACATAGATTGTGGCACTAAAAATACACAACACAATGGCCAAATTACAATACAAGACCGCATGTTAACAGTTTATCAATCTGTTTATACAGTACTCTCCCCGTGTTAAAGTTTTCAAAGTCCAGTATAGGAGTCGTCAAGCTACGTGGAAGGTCTAATGCGGCATGGCGACGAGATGCACAAGCAGGATACATTGCACGAGCAGGCTATATTGTGAGGCCCCTCAGATGGGCTCAGACAGGTGTAGACAAGAGAGACATCCAAACCTCTGCACTTATACCGTGGGAAGCTGCTCAAAGCACATACACGGGCAATGCTCACCTGCCCTCGTGTCCACCTGTCACCAACACATTTGGCAATGCTTCCAGACATTACATGGAATTGTACCTTACAGTCTTTTATCATTTTGAAACGTAAGCGAACATCTATTTTGTGTGTGCTTTAAATAAAAAACAAACTTGAAAATATGCTATGCCTGCAAGTGGTGCAGGACCAGCCTTAGTTTTAAAATATACATTATTATATCTTGACTTAAAGCTTTCGTGACTGCAAGAATTCATATTCTTTGGGTCTTTCGGTAAAGCCACGTAGATAGAAAAAATAATTTAAGAAAACACCACGACGTTTCGATCGCAACACAAGAAATCGTCATCAGGTGAAAAAATTGCGAGAGAGCTGCTGAGGCAGGATGTTATAAAGGTTTCAGATGGGTGTGGCCCAAGGGTCAGATACGAAATGGGTGGGGCTAGTGAAGAAATTTGCATGTCAATGTAAGATCGCAGAGAGCTGGGCAACCCCCACAACGAGGAAGCTGCGGAGGTGGCCATTGTATTGTGAGAGATTAGCATGTCAATGTAAGATCGTAGAGCCACCGCCACATGTTAGTGAGACATTTAACCTGTTAATGTAACACCAGAGAGTCGAAAATGCTGTGGGCACACACGAAATGGATTTTTCTAAGACGAAGGTACTCTGCAAACCCACTGGCTATCAGCGAAGATTCGTTCATGAAGCCATACAGATATATAAACACAGATACAATTTAAACCGAGAAAATTGGTACAAACTGAGTAATCATTGGAAGGACGTTATTAACCAGGTTAAGTCATAACTGACTGTGATGATTAGTAGCTATTTTCGACTCTCTGGTGTTACATTAACAGGTTAAATGTCTCACTAACACAGCCACCGTTGCTCGTTTTCCTTGATGTGGCGGTGGCTCTACGATCTTACATTGACATGCAAATTTCATCACTAGTCCCGCCCACTTCGCTTATGACCTTTGGGCTACACCCATCTCAAAGCTTTATAACATCCTGCCTCAGTAGCTCTCTCGCTATTTTTTCACCTGATGACGATTGCTTGCGTTGCGATCGAAATGTCGTGATATTTTTATTATTTTTTCTATCTACGTGGCTTTACCGAAAGACCCAAAGAATATACATTATCATGTTCGTGTATGCAACCCATAGACACAAATACAGAAATATCTGTTTCCACAAATAATCAACATTACAGGGTGAAAGCAAAAATAAGCAGACAAAAAAAACACACAACTCACATTCAGTGTATGTTTGGAGCTGGGAGAACTCGGCAGGGCTCAGCGTTGTCCATTTATCTTGACTCATCTTGCTATCTCCTTTCAACACTGTCCACATAAATTGAAGGTGGCGTGATTACACTGCACATACAATGTCCATCATGTCGTCAAGAAGCAATGCTTAGAGCAGCCCGCCGAATGCACCGCTCAATGCAGACTTGACTTGACAACCCCCGCGGTTTTTCATGAACCGCTCCCTTTCACCGAAAAAAAAAACCACAACCACACCCGGTGAGCAGTGGTCGTCCCCTTTTACCAGTCTCAAGAGGGGATATTCACGTCGATTCAATGCTTTCGCCGCAAGGAACCCTCCACCGACGATTGTCTGTCCAGAAACTCCCTCCCTCTGGTCATCCACACACCGAATGCAGACTCTAAAGAGACAAGAGGAGGAGGGGGAGGAGGGAGGTACGGGGTGGGTGGGGGCGTTGGGTTTGAGGAAGAGATACGTAATGACATAGCAATGAAAAAAGGGAATGAATTACTAATGAAGGCTGCTCACAACAATATGCAGCAGAGGCGGAGCCACTGGGATCCCCCCCCCCCATCCAGAAATACCGCTGGGGTTTATTTACAGAAAATATGATCAGTAAAATAAATAAATTGAATTACATCGACATTGTAAATATATTTCACACCGTGCTTAGTTCAATACACCTTTGTTACAGATGATGCATTAGCCTTTTCAAACCCTATTTTTGTATCTATGCGACATATATCCAATGCTTATTCCATATCGTATAACCATCGGTCTTCATGTACTGTGTATGTGATGTGTGGCTTGGACATGTGCTTACATATGCAGCGTAATTATATATATACAAACAACATAAACACACTGATAGAGATGGTAAAGGAGTTTGACACGAACAATTACAACGCAATAATTTAGTGTCTTAAATTGACGAGGCCAGACTCATCACGAATCGTCAGCACATCATCCCTTGAGGGATCAATAAACAAAATACTAAACAGTGGTTGTCATGTAAAAAAAAACGTGGCCCCGATCATAGAATATAAACCGCTGGCTCAGTGCAGATATTACTGAGGTCAGTACTACCACGTGTTTGTTTATACACAAGGGGAAACCGCTTTGATTTTAAATAAGAAAATAAACACAGGCCAATTAGGGATACCTTAATCAATCTCTCGAGTAACAAAGTAAGGATGGTGAAGTTCAGGTGCATCACAGCACAAGCTGTAAAATAGGAGGAGGAAAGGGGGGCTTTAATTGGCTGTTTGCTCACAAATGAAGCTTGCTGGTGCGAAGGGGCAAGTGTTGTCTAAACATTACATGCTTAAAATAACCGGGGCTCCTCTGCCAAGCAAGGCTCGTGTGTCGCTAAAATATTTACAAAGTGCCACATTTCCATGGCCATTGCTTGCAACTGCAGGTGATACGGACAAATATGTTTTGGTATATATTTGGTATATGCTTATACTTCAACATTCTTCTCCATCAGACAAACGTTCCATATGATTGATGCATTATGAAGTTATACAATACCACCAATACGGTTCTAAATTAAATCCAAAGTCAGTTATTGTACCTCTGGCACCAAGATATATATATAAAAAAATGGCAGTCCACATACAGCAAGTTCAATAACCGCATTCCTGCCACTTGATTAAAAAGCCAATGATAACATGAAATATGAAATAATGAAAAACATTTAAGGTCAAGTTCTGTGAACCCCCTAGGTGTCAGACAATACTCACTCAAAACTGCTCTAGAGGAGTTGTTACACCCCTAGCTGCCACTGCTATTCAGTGGCATTAAATATGGCTCTAGATTTTGGTGTTATAATTTATTTATGTAGTTTATTGTAAAAAAAATTCGGTCACAGTCCCTATGATCACTGTTACATTGCATTTATGGCTTTTATTTTGGTGATTTCGAAAACGTTTTTTTGTTTTGGCCATGTTTTTGTTTATTGTAGTACGGACTTAGACTGACGGCCTTATTCTAAGTTGTTTTGTGGTTGTTACTGTTATTTGACTTGCATCCCACTGGGATTTTTGCACACAGCGTTGGTGTACGGTGCTATTTCAGGAAGATTTTGATGTTTTTTTTCCTGGATTTTCTGTTTGCACAGTCACATAATCACTTTAAGATGTTTTTCTTGTTCATGTTTTTTGTGTGTTGCGGTTGCACCCGATTCAAGAGCCGAATGGCTCAAAGGGCTATACCAAATAAATAAAACTATGGAAACTATGGAACTCATCGCATCGTGTTGAAGCAGGGCATAGTTATGTTATAATTAAATATATGGCTTCACTCACTGCTTCAAATGAACAATTTTCTGTCTGAACATGCAGCTGCAACTCTTAAAGCTCTAATATGCATAAACTGGGTGCCAACCATATTACTGACAGCCCAGAAGAGTCAGTTTATTGCACTGGAGTCTAATAGGTCATCATTTACTCTTGAAATTATAATATATAGATAAAATAAGGGGACAGTCAAGTATCTCAACAGCCTTCTTAAAAAAAATGCAAATGCCCCTTGGAAGGATCTGTTGGGACCTGTTTGTATTTTGCTACGATAACGCTGCACTAATATACCACCCAAGTCACAGAGATGCCCCACTTCAAGGTGTTCATCCCCTCTTTCCAGCCTCAAGTCTGTGCTGCAGCATACATGCATGTGCTCTAGGTAAGTCAATCACTATTCACTTCACAAAACTTGGTAGTGATTTCCCATCCCACCTCCTTGCCTTGCAATTCGATGAAATGTTACAATTCAATTCAACCATCAATTGATTCAAGATAGATTATTGGGTTGGGCCACACAATGATCTGTGATCTGACCACTGTATAATGTTAAGACGCTCCTCCACCTGACACTGAGATAATAACATTAATCGTGGTAGAGTCGGGAAACAATAGTTAATGCTCTACAGGAAACTGCAAAGGAAGCAATTCCTCATTTCCAATTTCCTGATATATAAATGTCCAGATTGGGTTCCGTGGCCGTTCTCAATGTGCAGAGGACATTTGAGTGGGGACTTAATCATAGAGGCTTGAGAATGAGATGAGGCCGTTCAACGCATCAGGCACCGTGTTCTGCAGATCAAAACACGGATGGGTATGGATAACAATCATTCAAATAGTGTCCAGACCAGTGGTGAGAAAACTGATATTTACAAAAAGCAAAGAAAACGGTCAATTATATTTACTGCTCAGCACATTTTCCGACACCACATTTAACGCAGCTTTATGCATCGACTCAATCAGAAGGCATGGCACAGTTTTTAATGCAGTACACTTTGAAACATTATTCCTACACTTGTTGCCGATTGTATGAAACCTCACGAGAATTTTCAACGTATGCATAACATGTTTTATATCATTCTATTCTATAAGATGTAATTATCTGTGTCACATTTTATGCGTAGGTATTAATACGTAGCAAATTATGTGGGCGGTGCTGCGTTAGCAGTGGTGCACACGCACAAATAATTAAAAAACTCAGCACATTTGTTAATAAATAAAATAAAAGGTATATAAAATATTGGATTCAAATGGAGGATCATCCTTTTTCTAAAGCTTTACCAAAAGTAATGATGAAAAGGCAGGTGGTGTGACATAATTCCCATACCTGTACTACATTTTTCGGCTCATAAACATTTTTCGGCTCAGAAAAATGTTTGCTAAATGAGGTAAGTGTGTGTGTGGATGGTTTGAAACGGTTAACCTCATTTGGCAGGCTTTGGAATTAACTTGTTCATTTTATTACATGTAGCATTTCAACAGAGAATACATTTTACATACTTATGGACAAGGCCACTGAAACGGGAGCAAAAGGGAAGATTTGTCCTGGGCCACACACAATAGAGGGCTCCACAACTTCCTTGTGTTTTATTGCTCTGGCCGACCAGACCTGAACCTCCAAACCCAAGCCCTCCAGGAATCTGTGGCCAGCCCTGCTAATGAAAATAAACCTGGAGGCCACTTATCAGGGACAAGGTCCAGTATGCATATTGTTAATGTTTAAATAATCAAATGATCACATGAGGAAGTAATACGTGTGCTGCAAATAAATTAACACGATAATAGCAGCATATAACAACATATGATAAGGTGTTTGATTACTTCAGGTTAAACATTACCGCATGAAACTTATAGTTCTACAGGCATACCCACACACACGTAGAAACGTCATACCAATGGGGCTGTACATTAAAGGAATGATGATAAATATGCCTCATTAAATTAAACAATGCAAGCAGACTTTAAATAGCAAAACGTATATATGTGTGTCTCTAGGCCTTGTGGGATAGGCTCCGGATTTCCTGCGAAATTCGTGAGATCTCTTTAAACTCTCAGAGTTGCGGCCCCCATGTTAATGTGCGTGTGTTGCTCATGTTTTATTTAGCAAAGCAGCAAAGGTGGACCAAGCATTTAACTCAAAAACAGCAAGATTATGGCTGCAGTTTAGTTGTCATTTCGACCGCGTAAGTGAACAAAGGGCATCCACATTGTATTAATCTAAATTGATGTAATTTGTGTATGCATGCTTAACTTCTTTCGGAACATACGTAGCCAACCATGATAATCGTTACTCCTTCTTAATTCCCATATAATTGCTGATTATTAAACTGGGTATTGTGTTGGGAAAAGGAAAAACAAACACAAAATTGCTAAGATTGGGTTTTGAATGACTTGCTTTCAAATTTCGATTTTTAGCTTTCGTGACTGCAAGGATTCATCTTCTTTGGTTCTTTCGGTAAAGTCACGTAGAATGAGAATAATATAATAAATTGATAATATAAAATAACACAATAATATTCTCCCGACGTTTCGGCCACAACACAAGCGGCCTTCATCAGGTGAAGGGACGAGACTGTCTGGAGGACTATTATTGTGTTATTTTATTTTATCAATTTATTATTTTATTCTCATTCTACGTGACTTTACCGAAAAAACCAAAGAAGATTGCTTTCAATTGTTAATAATTGGCAACACTATAGCATGTTAAGAGTTTGCTACAATTATAATGCATGAGAGTTCATCAGCAGGCCTGTAAACATAATTGAAAATCATAATTATGGTATGGTATGATACGACACAAACACATGTCACGAAGAAATTTACCCAAAGTATTCATAAGTAAATATACAAATTAATCCGAATTCAAGATGGTGAGAAGTAACATGCATTTCACAGATTGCTAAACAGAAGGCACACTAATGAGCATCACTTCACCTCAATGTGTACAATAATTTGTAATCAGCACAACCACTAAACACGTGACAGCCATAAGAGGCGAACACCATGGCACACACTGAGAAGTATGCCCAATGGAGGGGACAGTAACAGAGAGATGTGTCGTGCAATGTAGTGAAACCAAATTATTACCACCTTCTCACAA